TATCTTCAGGAAGTAATGTGTCTGCTATTACAGTCTGCTGAAATGTGCTCTGTATGATTGCAACTTAAGCCACACAAGTAAAGTCTGAATTCTGCCTCATCACTACCAGTGTCTTCTCTAACACATAACCAACAGTGTTGTCACCTGCCTGCAGGAACGGGACAAATCCTACCTGATCCTTGTGTATTAGCGATGGAAGAACCTCATTCAAATGTATGGATAGTAATTTAGTGGATATTTTGAAATCTGAATTCAGCAGGAAAGGTGTATAACCCTCCTGCGCTAATATGGTTGAACTAAATACTAAGCAGCCAGCACTCAAATGCCTCAACCTAGGCACATATGAATGGTAAAATGTATATATAGATAGTTCAGTGCTTATATGAGCATCTAATGGTGGATAAGCCTGGTAGGTGCTAAATAATGATATACATACAGGACATGCCAAGACACAAAGACACTGAACTATTGCCAATAATAAAGCACACTACCCCCTCTTGATCCTCATCTGAGGGATCATCAGTACGTGCAAGCAGTGTGTGTGTCCCTTTAAGGGAAAAGTACTATATTAGATATAGCTTGGTGAGTCGTGCCACATAACACTACAGGCACAGTGATACAACACTTCACTCTTAATACAAATGTCCACTTGAATATAAAACACTCTCGTGCAGGTGTTAATCTCGTGTTTGTGCTGTAAAGCGTGCCAATCCTCCGTGGCTGGAGTGCCCCCTCACCTTCCTGTCCAGGCCCCACAGGACCAATGAGCCTTATAAATCACACTAATGGTCCTCCCAGGACTAGCTAGTCTTCTTAGTAATGGTAGTGGTACTCCGTCCTCCTCTGATTATTGAACCTCCAACATCTACTGGCACTGCTGGGTAGGTAATACTCCATGCATGTCCCCAATGATAAGACAGAGAATAGCCAACATAGTGTAAACCTGATTTATTGAGACATCTAAATACAATAAAAATGCCCACTCACACTTTGGTAGTAACAAACGAGCCTTCACACCACATTATGGGTGTACTGCATGTGTGGATACAAACGGGTGCACCAAGATGGCGCCCACACCGGATCTGACGTCACTGCGCTCCGGAAGCCCCTCCTACTGGCGTACCTACGCGGTACGTCACGGTCAGTCACGTGACTTCCTCAGGGTATCATAGGATATCGTAGGGAATTCAACAGCACAGAGGAACCAGTTCAGATAGGCTTCTGTTTTGGAGACTTGTGGGGAGAACTAGAAGGCCTGAGGAGTTTCCTAGGAGAGATCTTTATCCACACCACTGGAGGAGAGGGTATTGGTGATAAAAAGTTCCATCTGGGGAGATCAGTTGTGGAAGATCGAAGGCTTCACAAAGGGCAGGTAAATCCTCAGGTAATCTCAATATTGCAGATTTTCCATTACGCTTTGCCATCAAACTGTCAGGACAGGAGCTGTGGAAATGGACAGGCAGGCCTAATGGCAGGGTCACGCACCGACTGACGACAACCACCACTCACAGACCGGAGTCACTCAGGGCGCGGAGTCTAAGTCCCAGGCTGCCCTTCACCAGGGCCCCTGATGGTGGGGATGGACTTGACGCAGCCAAGGACCAGGTCACGGCCCCCGAGTAACCCCAGCTGCGGTAATGGCCGCCGCCAATGGCGTATAGCTGGTAGGAATCAGATCAGACAATAGCGTAGTCGGACAGGCTGGGTTGATAACAGCGGGACAAACAGTACAGAACGGTAGACAAGAATACACAGGTCACAAGCCGGGTTCAGAAATGGGAGGTCAGATAAAGGGATAAGACTGAGAATAGTCTTAGTCAAAGCCGAGTCATTTTCCAGGAGAGCCATGAGAGTAGAACAAGAGCTTGCTGCAACACAATCATACAGGACACAAATGCAAAGAGGAAGTGCAGACAACAGGCTTAAATGTGATCAACCACACCCCTGTGGGGGATGGACCGCAGAGGCCTGAAAGCATAAAAGGCTCCCACCATGCTTTGCAGAAACCCAAGATGGATGCCAGCACATGGAGCAGCATAACCTCTGAGAGAAGGTAGGACCTTGACACAAACTAAAGGGAAAACCCCAAGTGTTGATAATGTTATTCTCATGTAATAGAGACAACAGAGGTTGAAGGAGTCGTCTTTACTGGAGGGTCATCCAAGAGAGATCTGGGTAAAGTTGAATTATATCCTGAGGAAGTCACGTGACTGACCGTGACATAACGCGTAGGTACACCAGTAGGAGGGGCTTCCGGAGCGCAGTGACATCAGATCCGGCGCGGGCGCCATCTTGGTGCACCCGTTTGTATCCACACATGCAGTACACCCATAATGTGGTGTGAAGGCTCGTTTATTACTACCAAAGTGTGAGTGGGCATTTTTATTGTATTTAGATGTCTCAATAAATCAGGTTTACACTATGTTGGCTATTCTCTGTCTTATCATTGGGGACGTGCATGGAGTATTACCTACCTAGCAGTGCCAGTAGATGTTGGAAGTTCAATAATCAGAGAAGGAGGGAGTACCACTACCATTACTAAGAAGACTAGCTAGTCCTGGGAGGACCATTAGTGTGATTTATAAGGCTCATTGGTCCTGTGGGGCCTGGACAGGAAGGTGAGGGGGCACTCCAGCCACGGAGGATTGGCACGCTTTACAGCACAAGCACGAGATTAACACCTGCATGAGAGTGTTTTATATTCAAGTGGACATTTGTATTAAGAGTGAAGTGTTGTATCACTGTGCCTGTAGTGTTATGTGGCACGACTCACCAAGCTATATCTAATATAGTACTTTTCCCTTAAAGGGACACACACACTGCTTGCACGTACTGATGATCCCTCAGATGAGGATCAAGAGGGGGTAGTGTGCTTTATTATTGGCAATAGTTCAGTGTCTTTGTGTCTTGGCATGTCCTGTATGTATATCATTAGTTAATATTATTTTTCCCCTACCAGGCTTACCCACCATTAGATGCTCATATAAGCGCTTGACTATCTATATATACATTTTACAATTCAGTAGGACTATCTGTCCGAAGTTATTACAAAGAGTGTGATCTTTCTCCGGTTTAAGTATTATCGTGATATAGGAGCTGTCAGGAATGGACTTGCCAATAATGGTGGGACTTACCTGCCTTGTGGGTTGCAGTACCAGGGCTGGCCAGTGGGTGCTCTCAGCAATCAGAGACTCACCCCTGCAATCAGCCAAACACCTGAAGCTGATTGCAGGGGTTGTATTTAAGGAATGGCCAGACTCACAGTCAGGGCCTTGGTGTGTGTTTTTCCATGGGCCCCTGTACCTTGTATCCTGTATACCTGTTCCTGTCCCTCTGTCTGACTTGTTGCCGACCCTGCCTGATCCTGACCTCTGCTGACTTCTCCTGCTTGATCCCTGGCTTGTGACCCCGACCATTCTCTGCCTGACCCTCTGTACCGCGCTGCCCGTGAGTTACTGAACCCAGCTTGTGAGCCCGACCACTCTCCCGCCTGTTCCTGGTACTCCGTTTGCCCGTTTGCTACTGACCCGGCCTGCCTGACTACTCTTTGTATTGTATGTATTGTTATCGGTGGGTGGTTTGGTTTGGTTTGTTTGCACTGTGTTTATGTTTAGTTTTGCACTGCGTTTTTTATTGTTAGTCTAAATAAATTATATTGTTTATACCATATCTGAAACCTGCGTTTCCCTGTGTCAGTCCACACACCTCTGGTCATACCTGGAGCCCTGACATTACACCAAGGCCAATCCTGACCAGAAGTGGCTGCACAGGGAAGCCATCTTGGCTTATTGTTGCTGGGAAGGATGGATCTGGATGAGGTTGTGTATTTATCTCTGCTAGTGTTTGATGACAAAGACTATGCTTATCAGACTCTGAAGGAGTATCCCCGGGATCAACTACTAGAGTGTATAAGGATCGCTCATTGCCCAGTAGATCAGGGCACAGAGTTTTCTGAGGTGCAGCCATTGATCCAGGTTTGTGCTGAGTTGGCTCGGTCCTGTACCCCTGAAAGCAGGAATGACTTTTTTCCCCCATTTAGTGTGGATCAAGTGGAATCACTGGTATGGTTGTTGGAGGATGATCCAGATTGCTTCCATGAGCATTATGCAGCTTGTCCATCACATGTGCTTATGGATTGCATAAACGCAGTGCAGTCTTTGGTCAGACAGGCTTTGTGTAAGCTCAGCTTTGTTCAACCAGTACTGCAGACATGGACAGATTTGTTGCACCCAGCCTCAGTCAGCTTGCAACATCATTCCTCTGCTCAAGGCACTCTTCCTGCATCCCCGACAGCACCCCCAGTGACTGCCCAGTATACTCTGCTAACTACCACATACCAGTCCCCTGCTCCCGCTTGCTGCACCTATCCTTTCTTTAACCCTGTAAAGAAGTCCTCTGTAGCAACTGCTCCCTCTCCTGTTCCATCCTCCAGCTCTTCTCTGTCTTCAGCTGCTCCATTCGTTTACAGACCTGTGTTTACTTACAGTGCTCCAGTAACTAAAACCAGAAAAAAGAGAAAATTCTTTCCAACCTGTACCATCCTGCCAGTATCCAAATCGGTCAGCCCTGCCGTCTGAGAACCCGCCTTCCGTGGTTCATCCTGGTGCCTCGGCACACGCAATTCAGCCTGATGTCTCTACCCAGCCGATGCCCACTGTCGTGCCTGATGACCCGATGCCCGCTGTCTTGCCAGATGACTCGGTGCCCGCTGTCTTGCCAGATGACTCGGTGCCCTCTGTCTTGCCAGATAACCCGATGCCTGCTGTCTTGCCAGATGACTCGGTGCCCACTGCCTTGCCAGATGACTTGGTGCCCGATGTCGAGCCAGATGACCTGATGCCTGGTGACCCGATGCCCGCTGTCATGCCTGATGACTCAGTGCCCACTGTCTTGCCAGATGACTCGGTGCCTGCTGTCGAGCCAGATGACCTGATGCCTGGTGACCCGATGCCCACTGTCGAGCCAGACAATCCAATGCCTGATGACCCAGTGCCCGCTGTCATGCCTGGTGACCCGATACCCGCTGTCGTGCCTGATGACCCGATGCCCGCTGTCGAGCCAGACGATCTAATGCCTGATGACCCGGTACCCGCTGTCGAGCCAGATGACCTGATGCCAGATGACCCGATGCCCGCTGTCGAGCCAGATGACCCGGTGCCCACTGTCGAGCCAGATGACCCGATGCCTGATGATCCAGTGCCCGCTGTCGTGCCTGGGGACCCGATGCTCGCTGTTGAGCCTGATGACCCGGTGCCCGCTGTCGAGCCAGACGATCCGGTACCTGATGACCCGGTGCCCGCTGTCGTGCCAGTTGACTCGGAGCCCGCTGTCGTGCCGGTTGACTCAGAGCTCGCTGTCGTGCCTGGTGACTCGGGGCCCGCTGTCTTGCCAGATGACTTGGAGCCCGCTGTCTTGCCAGATGGCTCGGGGCCCGCGGTCTTGCCAGATGACTCGGGGCCCGCGGTCTTGCCAGATGACTCGGTGCCCGTCGTCTTGCCAGATGACCCGGTGCCTGCCGCCCCGCCTGGTGGCCCGGTGCCTGCCGCCCCGCCTGGTGGCCCGGTGCCCGCTGCTCCGCCTGGTGATCCGGTGTTCAGCCCGATGTGCCTCTGTCCGGTGCCCAGCCCGATGTGCCTCTGTCCGGTGTTCAGCCTGATGTGCCTCTGTCCGGTGCCCAGCCCGATGTGCCTCTGTCCGGTGCCCAGCCCGATGTGCCTCTGTCCGGTGCCCAGCCCGATGTGCCAGTCTTTGATATCCCGCCAGTTACCGGACCCGGGCGGTGGAACATTTTGCCCAGCTAGGACTGTTTGGAGCGTCCTGAGGCCGCTCCTTGAGGGGGGGGGGGTACTGTCAGGAATGGACTTGCCAATAATGGTGGGACTCACCTGCCTTGTGGGCTGCAGTACCAGGGCTGGCCAGCAGGTGCTCTCAGCAATCAGAGACTCACCCCTGCAATCAGCCAAACACCTGAAGCTGATTGCAGGGGTTGTATTTAAGGAATGGCCATACTCACAGTCAAGGCCTTGGTGTGTGTGTTTTCCATGGGCCCCTGTACCTTGTATCCTGTATTCCTGTTCCTGTCTGACTTGTTGCCGACTCTGCCTGATCCTGACCTCTGCTGACTTCTCCTGCTTGATCCCTGGCTTGTGACCCTGACCATTCTCTGTCTGACCCTCTGTACCGCGCTGCCCGTGAGCTACTGAACCCAGCTTGTGACCCCGACCACTCTCCCGCCTGTTTCTGGTACTCCATTTGCCCATTTGCTACTGACCCGGCCTGCCTGACTACTCTTTGTATTGTATGTATTGTTATCGGTGGGTGGTTTGGTTTGTTTGCACTGTGTTTATGTTTAGTTTTGCACTGCATTTTGTATTGCTAGTCTTAATAAATTGTCTTGTTTATACCATATCTGAAGCCTACGTTTCCCTGTGTCAGTCCACACACCTCTGGTCATACCTGGAGCCCTGACAGGAGCGCTGCATGTCTGACGGCATAGGGTTTTGATGTAAAATGCCATTGTGACGGGAGTCACTTTGGGTGGGGGGCCCACGAAACCAAGCTCACTTTGGAGAGGTGGGGAGACCTCTGTATCAGCTCCCCATATCCCTCTTATGTGTAAGTCACCCTGTGCCTGTTAGGAGTACAGGGTGATCTGTCCTAATATTGTGTGGACTTTGTCTCAGACTGTGTAGACATGTCTAGGAGATAGGTGGGGTGGGGGGTTGTTGATTGTTTAATGTTATGTGGTTGTCCCATTGTTCTATTGTTTGTCTGGCTTGGGAGCAAACTATTATGGGATGTATGTGTTTATGTGTATCAGCTTAGTGGGGAGGGGGTATCTCCAGCAGCCCTCCCTCCTGATGGGACTGTCTGCTGGTGGGAAATTTGAATACCTGTGTGTCTCTTGTTACTAAATGTAGATTGGCCCACCCTGTGTCATTATGCAGGGAGGGGGCACTGTCCCCTGAGTGTATATATCTTGTATCTGTGTTCAAATAAAGAGTGCCATGTTCAGACAGACTGGTGTCGTCTAGTCTTGTATGGTCATCTTTGGTGTCTGTTGTCGGTGTTCATACGGGGAAGCGGTATTCTAATGGAAATACTCAAGCGCAGTCTGGGTTGGTTCCGTTACAGCCATTAAATAAGTGTACCATATGTGGCAGCAAAATAGGAAGAAAGGACTTGTAGTATTCGTACGGAAGACCGCCCAGACCCGGAGACTTACGATTAGGCAGCGATTTAAGTGTATTCTCTATTTCTTCATCTATAATAGGGTTATAAAGAGATTGGAGATCAGAGGAGGAGAGCTTAGGCATACCACTGTGCGCCAAATAGTGCCGAATGTGGGATAATAAAGATGGGGGAGCAGGTCGTGTGGGTGTCTGCTGCATTATAGAGTTGGGAATAATAGTCCCTGAATATCTGCATAATAGAAGTTTTTTCAGAGCGGAGGACAGAGAGATACAATGTCCCGGAAAACCGGTTTATGTGCTTCCCATTCTGTATTATGGGAGACGGCCGGGCTCACATTCTCAGCAAAATAGTTGTGTTTCCTATTCCGTTTTTGAAGGCAGGTGTTTAAGCAAAACATCATTGAGTTGCCAATATTCTCAGCTTGGCAGCGTTAAAGGATAAAGTCAGTAATATTGGGGCATGGACATACCAAGATGTAGGCAAAATAGTAGCTATTTTAAGCCTCTGCAGAGTTGGATTTAAAAAAAAAAAAAAACAATACATGAGTGCCAACTATGTGGGTGAGAAAAATGCGTATATTGCCTATCTCGTGGATGTAGAACACACCATGTATCAAAAAGGGCCCTCCATCTAGTATGTTAGTAAAAAAGCTGGGACTCTTAAGAAGTACAGAATGCAAAGCTATAGGGTGCAAAGCAAACCTATCCATCCCAGTCAAAAAGGGTAAATTATAATCCCCTCGATCACCAGAAATTTATGTTCCACCCGAAATAAGAGAGCATAGAGATGGGAGAGAAAGGAAGTTTGGTTGATATTAGGAGCGCACAAGTTACAGAGGGTGATGTCATGATCTGACCTAGTGCCCTTCAGGATAATAAAATGCCCTCTTGGGTCCAAAACCAAATCCTTGAGCGTAAACGATGAACCACGTTTGATAAGAATAGCTACCCCCCGCCTGCTTCTGCCTATTGGAGGCTTGTTAAATATGTGAATAGAACCATGATGCAAAAGCAAGTCTGCCTCTCTTATCTAGATGAGGACACTACGTCCGCTCCTGATTGTCGTTTTAGGCTAGAGTTTAAATCATTGTCATTTAAAGATAGAATCTTGACTATGATAACATATGAAAAGTTGTGGAAATCGCCAAAGTAAATACGACAGCCCAGTATTAATAATGAGATGATAATAAACTATATAGCATCCCATTCTGAAGATGTGTGACCAAGGAAGAGGCATGGGGAGACACCGATAGAAAAGAAGAGATTAAAGAAGAACACTGAAAGAAGCAAATCAACAGACACCCAAAATGGTGAGTCAGCTTAATGAAACTCTTCAAACAATTAGCCATACAAACAGTTCCTGAATACCCCTAAAACTTAGATAGGGGCATATATATAGGTATAATTAATGGAACCAACCAAAATCAAAAGGAGGTGGGGGGGGCCAGTAATAATGCCGGAACAGATGTCTATATAGTAATAACCTGCTGCAATGTTGGAATGATGGGGGGGTAGGGTAGGGAGGCAAGAGAAAGTTGGGAGACCCATATGGCGGAGATGAACACTCAGATCCAGAAGGGTCTAGATTCGCCATCACCATCTCCTGAGGTAAAAATAGAGAAGGGGGGATGGGGAATACAAGCCCACCGAGCTAGACCCAGCTCAAAAGATGAGATCAAATTATTAATAACAGATGTTACCAGTCTGAGGAGAAACAAGAAAAGTAGGTAATTCAACAGGGACCAGTTGGACCAGTTCAGAAAGGCTTCTGTTTTGGAGACTTGTGGGGAGAACTAGAAGGCCTGAGGCGTTTCCTACTGCAGATTTTCCATTACACTTTGCCGTTAGACTAAAGGGAAAACCCTTTAGTGTAGATGATGTTATTCTCGTGTAATAGAGACAACAGAGGTAGAAGGAGTCATCTTTTCTGGAGGGTCATCCAAGAGAGATCTGGGTAAAGTTGAATCGGGGTGCCTTCAAAGTTAATTATGCTTGTAGATCTAGCCTTTGTCATGATATCCTCCTTAAGAGTGTATGAATGGATGAGGCATATGATATCTCGAGGTCTGCATAGGGTACCCTTAGGACGGAGAACCCTGTAGGCCCTATCCATTTTTATGTGCTGGGTACAGGGTTCCCCAAGTAGGTTGTTAAACAACTGTTGAAGTACAGCTTTGAGGTCTTTCGCGTCTGCTGGTTCTGGAAGGCCTAGGACTCTAATGTTATTTCTGTGGCCCCTATTGTCTAGGTCTTCCAAATGTCTTTGCATATCACAAAGGAAAAAACGGTGATCAGTAAGATGGTCTTGGACTTTGTGAACATCAAGTTTAGTGGTTTGCAAGTCCTCCTCAACTCCACCCTCTCAGCCAGATGGTGAATATCCATCTGCAAGGCTTGTATTTCTGTGCGGCAAGTTTCTTTGACATCATGGAGTAACTGTCTAATATTGTCCTTTGTGGGTATGGAGCTTAAATAGTCCTTCCAGGGTAATGGCCTTGAGAGCCAGGGGGTATAGAGGCAGAAGAAAGGTCCTTAACATAGGTTAGTTGCTGTGACCCCATAGGTTAACACAGGTTAGTTGCTGGGACCCTAGAGTACAGGGCTGATAGGTCAAGACAGAATTTTGTATTGGGGAAGTGTCCCAGGGCTCCTTGTGGACACTTGTGGCTGAGATGGAGAGAGCGGGGCCATGGCATGAGGGGGATTGCTGGACAAAACTCTATGTAGCAGGGGCAGAGAGTGTAAGGGGTCTGTACTTGCTGGATTCCCTGGATCTTGATGGCCTCTGAGGTTTAGAAGAATGGGTGAAGGGAGTAGCAGAGTCCACAGGGGAAGGATCCTGTGCCTCTGGATGGAGAGGGGAGAGAGGAGAGGAGACAGCAGATAAAGGAGCAGGGACCAGAGTGTTCAGTGATATGGGCAGCTTGCTCACCCCACGGGAAGTGTCATCAAGGCAGGAGAGTGAAGGAGTAGAGGGCGTCCGATGCAGAATGGAAGTTGCGTGGGAGTCATCATGTTCCGGAGGCAGAGGTGGTGAGGTGCTGAGGGCCCGGTCCAATGCTCATTCTCGCAGGTGGTGCTGCATAGTCTCAGCATTTAGACCCGGTGGGCGACCAGGAGTAATTAGAGAGGAGTGGGTCTGAGGTAAGTATACTTCCTCCAGCTGTACAATACTCGGCTCCTGAGATGAAAGAAGGAGCGGATTGTCGGGGTGGCCATTCGAGCAGGATGACCGGGTACCCCGATTTAGTGTTGCGGGAAATCTTGAGCTTTCCTACCTGAAGTGTAGCAAATTCCTCAAAATAGTGAAAAAGAAGCAGGTTATGAGGAAAGCTAATGTGTCACAGATCCATCCGGCACGGCTTCCGGGCAAGCTCCCTGTTTATTTTGTTTCAGCACATAATGTAAAATGTGTAGGGTGATCAGTAGGGATGAATGACCTGACAATGTAC